GCTCCTCCACCACCTGCTCCGCCGCCGTTGGTCGGCCCCCTGGAGTCGGTGGGCATTCCTCCTCCATGGCTCCTCCTTCCGTCGGCTCCACCGTGGGCCGCTGTTATGGCTGTGGCCTGGGTCCTGCTGTGCTCTTCCTGCTCCGGGTCCCTCCTGTCTCCTCCCTCCATCGTCTCCTCCCTGGAATCTGTCTGCCGGCCCCCTCCCGGGCGTCCGTCCTCCTCCTGAGCCTCCTCCCTAGTTCCCACCCACTCCCCTCCCCATGTTGTTTCTACGGTGTGAGGACGCACCTTCTGGGAGGGGGGAGTAATGTCACGCCCCTGGACTCTTTGTGTTGTGTTTAACCTCCCCAGGTGTGCCGTGTTCATTAATAATCGCAGGAAATACAGTTTTCAGAGCTGGACAAAGCTTCATGCATATTCTATTCCCTTTTTTAAATAAGTGATCTACCTTTCTTTGCTCTGAGTGTTTTCCTCCAAAGAGTGGAAAAGATTCCATCAGTCCAGTCATTGGTTGCCACATCAAGTCGCCCAAACATTTGAGGTGCAGTTATAGCTTTAGGGTTCATACGCATCTCTCTGTGAGGCTGGCCGCAATCTAGACATATTGTTTTACAATCAAAATCACAAATTAATTAAACATCAATAATGGTAATGGCCTGGTTTCTGTGCCTAATGTCTAATTCTCACCGGTCATGGCCTTCATTAGAGTATGAATGCAGGCTGTTTTTCCTGCTCCGCTGGGTCCTAGTGCCATCATCCGATGACGGACTCTTTGAGTCTCATATAGTTGAATGACCTTTAACCTCCATGGTGGGTGATTGATCAGACCAGCCTCAGTCACCTAGTAGGACAAAAAAATAAAGACAACGTTTTGATTCCTACTTCATTCAAATTTTGGAGTAAGTGTAATTTTTAATTATCAACCAAATAACCTGTTTGTCTATGGCTGACTCCAAATCAGGGTATCCAGCTTTATCCAACTTAATTCCAGGAAAAAGATCCTCCATCAAACTCAGGAACAATGGCTCATCCTCATCAATCTTAAATGACAGAGTTAGTTTCATTGTTATGACAGACGATTTTAGAAAGGAATTCTGATACTAAACTGCAAATTGATATGAGAGAGAATCTATAATCAAGCGAAGGTATGACTGTTCGTTCCATTGGTTCCTCAAATGTGAAAACTATGTCTGTATGCATGCTGGTACTCTTACCAGTTTGGACAGGTTCATGTCTCGCAGAACTCTCATGACAATAGTGGACTCTGTGTCATTAGGATTGGCCCGTTTTGCTGCTCCAAGCGTGCGCAGGATGGACAGGTTATTGCGGAGACCAAAGTCATAGTGGACCTAAGAGAAAAAAGGAAACCCAACTCAAGCTCAGCAATAAATAAACAAATCAATCAATATAAAAAGAATAAATAAAAAAACACTATAGTTATCTGGTCTAAAATGACCAAAATTGCCTAAAATGACCTAAAATTGCTGAAAATGTAAGTGAACAGATCTATTATTAACATGCCTACAACATACTCACAATGGCACTTTTTACTTTAGTAAACTTCACCTCTACCACAACCTTATTCAAAATGTCAAATAAGTTATGTATAATTATGTACAAGTTTATTCAAGAATGAAGGCTGACACATTTAATCCACAGCATACACTTGTCAAGATTTAGTTAAATATTTGGAAGCAAGGAAAAAATACCATGTTTATCCTCTGGGTACCTGGATACAGTCATTGTCTCAAGTTCCTGAGCAACAATAGTTTACTGTATTTTCTAGCATTATTTGTTATTATACAACAGTTCGTTCTGGTTCTCAAATCTGATTGGTTGAGAACCATGAGATATTGTACTGGTATCGCTACAGGAACGCCCTTTCACAATTTTGTATCACTCCGCTTGTTCTAGCCGGGTCTATGTTTTTTTTTTAATTATTCACTGAGCTAATCGTAGAGTACTTAGTTAATATAAGAAGAAACGTCTAGCTTTGCGGTCTCTCTCTCTCTCATTTGGATGTACGTCTTGCCGCATTGTTTCTCTCTTATAACCTCATTATTTCTCACTAATAACCTAACTGAAGCAGCACATGCCCTTGATACGAATTCTAAAAGTGACATATATTTAACTGTCAACTTGAGCTTTGAATCCGTGGTGGAAGGAAGTAGTTCCGCACAAAAGAGCACTCCGTTGTTTCTTGTTTAATTACACACATGTTCCGTCGAACTGTTGTATAAACGCAATATCACTCTGGTACTTGAGTGATACCGGCTCTATATCAGCGGCTGTGATTGCCTCCTAATCACAGCCATGCTGATATAGAGCCGGTATCGCTCTCGTACTCGAGTGATATTGCTCATATCTAGTTCACAATGAGTGGGGCAGAGCTCAGTGAATATCTGCTTATTAGTTATAAAGTACATTGCTACTAATGATAGTCACCTGTTTAGAGAGCTGCTCCTCGCACAGTTTGTATAGAGTGAAGAATTTCCTGGCTAGTTCAATATTGTCAATAAAGCCACAGCTTGCCAGTTTCACTCTGATAATTATCTGCCTGTCAGGAACCATCATCGCCACTGAGCGGAAGCTAATTTTCAGATTCTCGGGAAGTTCCTGCCCCGAAAACAAAATGTGAAAATAGCAACATACATACAAGAAAATAACAAGAGTTAATATGTGTAAACCTTTTCCACTGAAATCACCATTTCATTTAGTCTTTTCCCACAGATTTTCACAAGCAGTAATGGTATATCTATAAATAACTGTACCTAAAGGAGATATCTGTAAGTAACTGTAATGTTTCATGTGTTCAATATAATATGAAATAGAAAATAGGAATTGACCAAAAGTAAATAGTTTCTCTGCATCTCATTGTACTGTTTTAGAAATTTTAAAATTGTATTTATTTATTTAAAGAGTGGCAATATGATAAAAAACACCAATTAATAATGAGGATGTGCAGTCACAGTTGTGTGTATTATGTGTTTACACTTACAGTGAAAAAATGTGCAAACCACTGCAATACTTTTTATGTATACCATTTATTAGTTCCTGCTTCCTAGTGTTAAAGTAAATCTTTGTGAGATGTGTGATATTTTAAAGAAGACATAAAGACAGCAGCCCACCATGGTGAGGAAGATGCCAAATTCTGGGTTCATCTCCACGTTATCTCCAACCGTAAAGATGAAGTTCTTCCTCCATTTTTTCTTACAGATGAGTACAATGGCGATTTGCTGAGCTGCTACTGAAAGCACTGGCAGGTCGATACGGTTAAACTCATCAAAACAACCCCAGGAGCCAGACTGAGCAAGACCTAGAGACACAAAAAAGAAAGTATGCAATAAGAACATGAACATCCTAATAAAATGACAAAAAATCTAAGAAATTTGTTACTCATGTTTAATTTCACACACCATATCACACCGAATATTACTTGCGTATGGGTAATGAATTAGAGATGATTGCTTACAAATTACAATGAATGACAATACATGTGCTTACAAGCATGTATTGCCATTCATGATTATATTACATGGATATGATTTTTTTTTTAACTTGCAAGAATAAAATTACATTCGTTTTTATAATGTGCATTGAGCACACGTGTGGCACCTTTAAAAATTCTGCCCAAGCCTCTGAAGTCCATCTGATCGGAGCAGTTGAATACCACCACATATTTGCCCAGGCAGCGGCCCATGTCCTTAGTGGTTTCTGTCTTTCCTGTTCCAGCCGGCCCAGTTGGGGCTCCACCCATGCTCATTCCCAGAGCTTGAGCTAAAGTGATGTAGCATCTGGGAAATGTATTGAAAATAGTGTAGAGATTCATATATTTTAATCTTAATAAAATGTAACATTTGCACTGTAAAAATATCTTCTTAATCAGTATTTTCGTCTATTGTCCAGTAAAAATATCTGAACACTCATAGCATCATGCATTATTATTGCATAATTCCACACATATTCTCTGGAGAAAAAAATATTAATATCTGACAAAATGTAGATTTTTAGGGGCTTGAGGATGTTTCTTATGAGAACACAAGGCAAAACACTACATGGAAAGTAATTAAAATGTGCTAAATGTAATAGGTATATTTAACCATTGGGTCTGTTTTTTTGTATTGTGATACAATTTCTTGGCAGTTAAAGTCCAAATTCTCATTATTGTATTGTAAAAATAAAAATAAAAAATGTAAGTCTCATTACTGTAAAGTGATATACTATTTCCGTTTTTATACCTACTAGTAATATTTGTTGAGCCTTTCATTTATAAATATTTACATTTTAAAAACCATAGTATTACAACATGTGTTACAGTAATGATAATCTAAAGAAAATCACCATTGTGAATATTGATTTCCTTATGAAAGATATAATTTCATATGCTCATCCTTTTATTGGGCTTTTGTATTTTGTTCTGGGCACAAGTGTATGATCTATAAGAGATCACGGTTACACTTTATTTGGTCCCACTTTATATCAAGTGTCCCTAATACCTGTGTACTTGCATGGTAACTAGATGTGTACGTAGTATGTAACCACAGTGTAAGTACACATTGGTACATAGTATCTAGAGCTGTAATATTTCTGTAACTACACACATGTAACAACCCACTGAATGGTATGTGTAAGTACAAATGTGTAACCATTTCCACCCCTAAACCTACCCATCTCCACCCTCTGGATCAAATGGTTCCGATTACTCTTATACATATTGTTGTTACAAAATGTAGTTATATATAATTCCTGTTACACGAGTACTTAGTGAAGTGAAAAAAGTGTTGTTACCAATGTCCTGTTACACATTTGTACTTATACACGAACCATTCTGAGGGTTGTTACATGTGTGTAGTTACAGAAATATTACAGCTGTAGATACTATGTACCAATGTGTACTTACACTGTGGTTACATACTACGTACACATCTAGTTACTATGCAAGTACACAGGTATTAGGGCCACTTAATATAAAGTGGAACCCTTTATTTTAAGGTGTCCTTGTTACAGTGTAATTATACATTTAAGTACTGAGCAAAATTAATTAACTACATGTACTTACTATATGGTTAGGGTTAGGATTATGGTTTGGTTTAGGGTTACTTGCATGTAATTATGCATAATTTATTGTTATTATAATAGTAAATACACATAACGTGTAACAAGGACATTGTAAAATAAAGTGTTACCGAAATCACATCTGCCTTGTAATTATACATAAATGGTCCCACAGTGGAAAATAGAGGTAAACAAGCTTGTAATTGCCAGCAGCACCTGTCAGTGAGAGGAGTGATGACCAGCCTGTCAGTACAGCCTAGAAACTCATTCTGGTACGCGAAACCCACATCAGTGATATTGATCATCATCTTATCCGAGTCTTCATTAAAGTAAAAGCGACATTGCTTCAGCCATTCAAAGTCTGTGGGACTTTTGATGTGCAAACGACACTGTGTGACAAGAACAGACATTGCACTGAGATTAATTTTTGCTGGGTGGTTATCTTTTGGATTTGTCTCAAAGACATGTATATGAATGCTTATAACTGCAAAAACTAAAACTTTGGCTATTGTTAAGCTTTAAAAAAAATGTTTACCAACTAGGTTTTACCTGAACAATTAATTGTAGCATGTAGCATATAAACTGGATTAACAGAATCTGGATTAAGGCACTCACCAAATCGTCAAAGATGTCCCTCTGGTGTACATGAATGGTGATTAGTGTTTCATACTTTGTTCGTTCAACAGCTCCAAGGTCCTTTGTTGTCATGTCAATCAAATTGTTGAGGAGCTCAAGAAAAAAATGGATGGTTTTAGCCATGATTTTACGGTCATATCTGGCATTGCTCAAAGCATCCTCAATCCTTCATCCAGATCATCTGGATTCCCAGTAAACCAACCTAAACCACAGAAAGCAGCAATCCTAATAATATACTGTAGCATGTTGCTTAATTTACAGTACAATGTGCTATCGCTGTCAGTATCTTGCATACCTGTGCAGGAAAGGAGTCCAAAAATTCGATCAACTCAAAGCCAGATTCTTGAATGGCAAGTGCAGCCTGATGGATGACAAGGTGCAAAGACCTCTGGGATTCTTTCAGTAGCGCATTAAGCCAGATCTCCACATTGCCCTCTGCCATGACGGGCCTGTCCAGCTCAACTGTCTCACTTTCTCGTGATGATATCGCCAGAATCTTATCATACATCTTAAAAGCAATTTGTTGTGAAAAGTTGGTTTAATATCAAAAAGCAGATATTATACTGATAAAGCAAATATTTTATAAAATAATGATCCGAAAACATGACCATGACATGAAGCAACTGTTCCAGCATGTCTATTAAAACGTAAGGTCACCATATACTGTAGAAAATCAAAGGGTTATATTTGCTTATTTAAAGTAGTGATCACCTTTTCATGGAAGCGGACACATTTGATGTTGTCAAATATGTTGAGTAGGTGAGCCTGGATGGTGTGGGAGTCAGATGCTTGGCCCAAAATCTCCAGCAGGGCGGGATCTGACACAAAGAAGAAATGTGGAAAGAGCAATCGCTTCTTCTCCAGGTACCTGTAAAGCAGAAAAAGAGATTGCTTAAATCAGCTGCACTACGAAGAGCTCTACTCCACCTGCCAAAAAATGCAACTCAAAAATATGAGATTTCAAAAGTCACATACAAAGTTGTTTACCACAGATTTTATTTTCCCTCAACCTAGTTCCCAAGTCCCAGGTGCAGCTTGCTATAGAAACTGCTGAATCCTGATATAAGGACTTGACTGATAAACAGTTGTGTGACATACCCTGTGAGGGATTTTTGACACATCTCTAGCTGTTCCAGCAAGTGAGGCAGCAGCTGACCCATAGTCTCATCTCCAACACACGACTGGACTACATTAGGCATCTCATGAGCTCGAGTCATTATTTTCACCCAGGATTTATCAATGTTGGAGAACCGCTTTGCCTCCTAAAACAGAAATATTCATTTGACTTTGTTAATAAGATTTCACATGAAATATTTAATTTTTCAAAACTGCCAAAAAAAAAAAACATCTGTGGCATTTTACAAAAAAAAAAAAAAAAAACCCCAAAACTAAACCAAACAA